TATCTTCCTACAAGCAAGGCCCTAGTGGTATGCTAGTGTGCGTCACTGATTATTTAATTTTGAGTTTTGGTGCCGTAGGAGTTTCTTAGATGACAATAAACTTATTTTATTTTTTTTATTTATTAAATTTTTAAAAATTAATGTTAATTACTTACACATTATTCGTATCGTTGAATCTTTTGTGCGGCTTTGAAGTAATTAAATGTATTTTGATAAGTTGGTTTAAGCTGTTACTACAAGTCATAACGGATGTTAAATAGACACTTATCAAATTGGCACTTTGCCCAAGGATGCGGCCTATTCGAAAATGATATTTCAACGAACAAATAAAAAAATGCACGTCTTTCTGTGGATGAGTCTGTTTGTTGTTTGATTTAATATTTTTATTTAAATGTTTGATTTTAAGTGCCATCTTTTTCCCATAAAATTTTTATGGTTTTAGATTTTGTAAGGAACCAATAACCAATAAGAAAGATTTTTATTTGTCCTCACTTTAAAACAACTAAAATCCAAATGTAAGATTAAAGCCACAAAATCTACATACAATTAATATTTAATATAAAATAAATCTAATAAAACTATTACCAAAAAAAATAATTTACAAAAATATCGTAAAAAATTCCATAACTATCAAATTAATACATTAACAGTTTTATAATATAATTTATGCAAATTGATTTTTTTCTTTTTAAAAACATCATTTAAATTAAAAATTTGTATTTTAAATTAAAAACGATTAAAGTACTTTTTTTAAAAGGAAGGTGTTGCTTTATCAACAAAGCATTGTCATATTAAATTAATTAATTAAAAAAATAATACCCCTTAATGTTTAGGTTCTTTTTTTATTTTTATTCTGTAATTTGTACAAAAGAAGAAAAAAACATTTCGTCTCGCAATAATTACATCAAAGCTAATACAGGAAAACCTATTATTATCGATGCACCAGAAGAAGATATAATAGGTAGGAGGTCATGTTTTAATAGAATTTGTTTATCAACACCCAAATTGGAAATAGTTTTTAGTTGTATTTTGGTATTTTTTTTTCTTGTCATGTTAAGATTATATTTTAGTATTTTTTATAAAACTAAAGTAGATAATGATTTAGCAGCTAATCAGGATTTTACAATACAATAAATTTTTTAATATTATAAGCCAATATAATGTTATTTTTTACACGTTCAAATATAATTATATTTTTTATAACTTGTTAAAAGGTAATTAATTCTCATTTAATTCTTTTGAATCATAAAAAATTCAATAACTATTTTTACATTAAAATTTTATTTAGAAACAGTGCCAAATTTACTTATTTATTTAGTATAATTTACGATGAAAATTTTTTATGTAGAGGTACAAAATGCTTGACATTATTCTATTAAAAATATTATTGATAACTTGATTAACAAAATAAGCATAAAATTTAAAAAGGAATATCTTTAAAATGTATTATTAACTTTAAATGTACATCATTTACTACAATTAATTTATTTATAACTAGAATGCGTAATACAAAATTAAATTATTTGTGCATCTGTATCTGTATAACATTAAATGTTTCAATTGCAAACTTTTTATATTATTAATATTTGCATTTTAACTTTAAATTGTAACAATATCATGCAAATAAATATAAGTTGCTTACAAGAATTCCTAAGATATTAATTAAATTAAATCATTAATTTAAAAATTATTAGAAAAAGTTAATTAAATTTTTTAACTGCTGTAAAGGATTTCGCAGCCAATAATTTATGACTTGCTGTTTTATATTTAGTAAATGTAAACTGTTTTTTTACATCACAGCATACACTTAAATTAAAAAATAATGTTTTTATTAAAAAGGCAGTTTAAAACCATAAGAACATTTTTCATTGTTTGATTAACAAATAATTATTATATTTTAATTAAAACTTCAAAAAATAATTCCCCTTAATGTTAAGATTCATTTTTTACATTTTATTAATAATTTGTACAAAAGATTATAAAAATAGTTCAAATCAAATTAATTACATCGGATTTGGAACGGTGCAACCTGCTATCATTGATGTACCAGAAGAGAGTACAGAAGGCGTAAGATTTTCTTTTAGAGTACTTGCTTCATCACTAACTAGATTGGATAAAATTATTGTTGCTATATTAATATGTTGGATGTTCATATTAATTATAAAAATATTTATAATTGCTCTTTATAAAAATAAAGTTAAAATTAATTTTGAAGGTGTCATTGAACAAGATTCTGCAATATAATAAAAGAATTATTTAATTTTAATATTATATTTAATAATAAAATGTTTTAGCCAAATTTATTAATCAACACTTTTTTTGGAAATGAATAAAATGTCATACAATTTTATGACGTTATATTTAATATTAAAGCTGCTTGTAAAAAACAAGTATTAGATTGTTGAATAGCTTTGTGATATATAACAAAAATAATTACTTATTATCACAAAACATTTAAAAAATTATTTTTAATATTACAAGGGTTGTAATTAAAAAAATGGTTAATTATTACTTTTATGTAAACCTTTGAATAATTGTGATCACGTTTTTAAAGATATAATTTTAATGTTGAATCTTTAAAATATAATATTGTGGATAGAAACTGTATTTACAGAAAAATCATTTTTAAAATAATTAAAAATAGAAAACAATCTTGTCGAATTTAATTTACATTTAAATTTTTGTTTAGAAAAAACTTGAATAATTCTAATCAATTTTTCACTTAAAATATCTGAGTTTTATTCGTAGAAAAAATAATAGTTTTTTAAAATGTTTAATAAAATTAAACTTTTAATCATCAAACGATGAATGAAAAAGCAATAATACAAAATTCTCATATAAGAATTAGCCAAATCTTTATTTATTTAAAAAAATCTATTTTTTTCTATCAAATCAAAAAAGTCCTATAAAACACATTATTATAAAATCAAATTTCCTATTAGTTTTATTGCAAATTTAATAATTTATAGACAGCTATTTCGAGGCATCAAAAAACAAAAGATAAAAACGTGTGCACAAATCAATTTAAACATCCCCTTAAAATGCCATTAAACTTAGTAAACTTGAAAAAGAAGTGGGAAATAAATGTTTGCTTATACAAATGCAAAGCACTTAACATAAAAAAAAATTAAAATGTAAACCATATACAAATGTATCTCAAATTTTTTCTAATTCAAAAAATGTCGTAAAATTACGTAAAACTCATAGTGTAGCGTTGTTTGACAATAATGAAAATATTTGTTTACAATATTTACGCTTTGTGGAATCTGCGCGTTCGTAAGTAGTTAGAAGTATTCAATTTGTTTAACAATTTAGTAAATAAACTCTAAAAAAATTAATTTGCTTTTTTTATATTTTAGCATAAAAAAATGTTACCCTTAGCGAAGAAATCGATAAAAGAAGACTTTTTTTTTATTATCATTTTTATTTGACATCCTCTTGATATTTTTATTTCTTAAATACTTTTTATTTTGATACAAAACGTTTTACTGATCTCCTTAGGTTTCAGGCGGTAGTTTCAATCTCAATATCGTGTTTTAGTTACCGACGGTAGCACAAAATTCATCTATATTGTGCACATTAGGGGTATATTCTTCTTGTTAAACTTATCGATGTATGATAAGCTATACCTCTAAAAATAAAAAATTTTACCTTCCTACGTCTACATCGCACTTACTTTAGCATTAGGTCTTTTGGTTAGTAAATAAGTTACTACTTCTTCATTTTCTTCTGTTAATACTGAACAAGTAGAATAAACCATTACTCCACCCTTTTTAAGCATGTCAAATCCCTTTAAAATAAGCTCTTTTTGTCTAAATACTGTTTTTCTTATGTCATCAACAGTTCTAGACA